AAACGGTAAACGACGACTTGGAGGTCAGCATGCAACATGAAGGAACAAGATAGAGACAAATCTGCTTTTGAAGAAGAATATTTACTTCTGCGATGTAGTAACCAGAGCCTTATGATTATGATAGTTATGTGTTATGATTCAATAAACACAATACGCCAAGATTGCTCATTTCGCTAAAATTTTACTTGTTAGAAAATACACAGTAAGAAAAACTAATAAGCGATACTGGGTTTCGATTACACTTGGTACTTCTCTTCAGTCGATTAGCCACCCATGAGTCACCGCCATTTCTGAAAACCGTTGTGAGCGGAGAAATGCCTCAGTCACCGGATGATGAATCACCCGTCTGCCGCCGTTTTGTTATGCAACTTTCGGAATAAAACGCTGTCGCGGTCCTTCTGAGTCTTTCATCAACTGTTCCGGACGTTTCACAATTCTGGTCAATAGTTCCTGCTTACGGCTTGTGGAAAAGGACGAGAATTTATCATTCCGCAGAATTATTCCGTAACACCTCACCTCTATCACCTTTGCATAGACTTTACCCATAAGACTCAATAAAGCTGCTCCGGGTTAAGGAGTTTCTCAAAATACTTCTCCATCGCTGAAGAATGTCCTCATCCTCAGTAAGAGGGCCAAACTTCTCTTTCAAGATTCTTAGATTGTCCTTCTCTTCACCTGAGAGCCAGCAGATGGCCAGCACACTCTGATTGCGTCTGGAAATTCGACTCCAAAACCGCACCGAACTTGTTTCAGTAATCAGCTTTGACTTTGCCAATGTTTTCGCTGCCGCCTTGCGCGCTTCGACGCGTCGCATGGCAGTAGAAGACTCTTTGCTTCCAAGCCATTTCCTGAATGTAGCCTTCTTCTGTTTAACTGTCAGTTTTACTTCTCGTGCCCACCAGGAGCTTCTTCTCTGACGTCCACGCGACAGGCCAACCGCTGCATTCGGCGGACGCTTCGAGTACGCCACTTTAAAGAGCCCCACTCAGTTTTCACATCAGCGGTCATCGCCGGGATCTGTTCAAACGCTAATTTCGCTCCTGTGTCCACCAAAGATAACGTTTCTCATTTGATTCCCTGGTTGCTTCTGCCACCAGATCTTCGTATGGTACTCCATTTCTTACAGCGCAGCGTGCCAACAACAAGG